TATTTTTGATGTAATGTTGTTATTCTTAAAAGGGTATAATTATCCCATTACTTTATAATTCTTTGGCTGAGTGCATTAATAGAGTAAATTCTGTATGATTTGCATAGATTATGTATACCTTTCTCCAAAATAGCTTTCATCAGTGTATAACTTCTCTTTCTTCTGCATTATTTATGCAAAGTAGAAAACCTCGAGATAAGCTTTGTATCAGAAAGCAGCAGTGATGGACATGAGCATGAGACACACTTTGCTGGGGTTATTTTGTAAGTATTTTCTACGAATGGCAATAATTAAAAGAAATGTTTTTCTACTGTGAGAGATGAAGTGCAGAAGTGCTGTTTAAGTGCTGTGTGTGTGTGTGTGTGTGTGTGTGTGTGTGTGTGTGAGAGAGAGAGAGAGAGAGAGAGAGAGAGAGAGAATGCGGATTATGATTTTCAGTTTCATAATGTCTCAATTTAATCTTTGCTCTAGTGCTCGCATCACTCTTCTCTGGCAATGCTCAAGGTAAGAAACTGCTTTCTTTTATTTCAGTCTGAGTAACACTCAAATTAACATTTTCTTTGTATTTATATTTTACACATAAAACTATTAATTCTATGTTTCTGTTCTATATTTTAAGTTCACATGTTGTTGGTCACATGAGAAAATATTGCACTCAGCCATGAGGTTTGGTGCAGAGGTTTTAGGTTATCCAGCAGAAACCACTGGTGGAGAAACAAGTGCAACCACAGACACATAATATATTCCTAATTGTAGTGATTATCTCACAAATTTAGATTAGGCCTACTGGTATTTCTACAGGGTGCATTTTTGAATAAGAAATACTTCTAACACTGGCTAAAGTGTGCTATTATGACAATGAGACCATACAGTAAGCCTCAGGAAAGATTTCTTCCTGACAGATAAAGGCTAATACTTGGGCAAAGTAAATATGACATGAAATAAAAAGAAAATAAGAACTATCACAAAATAAAGACTATAAATTTAAGTTGCTTTCATAATAGTTTGTGAATGTGTTGTTGTGTTACAGTTTGTCCTTGACCCAACTAGCCTTCTTACATTTACTTTATTCATACGTTATAAAGATCAGATTTTTTTTATCTCCTAAATGGATGTTTTAATGTGAACAGTTCATATTGAGTTTATTGTTGTCTTTGAGCCTGGCTAGGCTCAGAAACGATGAGGTGAGACGTCCAATGAACACAGGATATTCAGTGTTCATCTGATGTTGCATTGGTTGGATTGCATAATTTTTAAAATATTTATTCAAGTTATTAGTTTCAGCTCAATGAGTTGAACATTTTGTTTTGTGCTGCTCAGTGTTACTAGCTATTTTTGTTCAAAAACAAAATATCTGAAACAGCTTTTAAAATACAATAACACATCCCAGACATATCAGATTAACTTCCTATTAGTATTAAACTCAAAATGCGGCATGCTGTACATGTGTAGTATTATTGCAAGAAACATTATGATACACGTTTGTCATGTATTTTTTTTCTCCTAATCTATGAGCACATGTGCATGGTTAATTAGTGTGGCAATGCATTTTCTGTAGTTTAATTGTCTTAGTATTTATATTATATTTTATATATTATTTATATTTTATTATATTTTTTTATAGTGTTTAAAAAGAGGTTTCAGATTTGTGAAATTGTTTTCATCAGTAAATAAAACTCACTCAGAAACAAAAAATAATGCGTTATATTATATATTACAATAATATAATATTATAATAATACCATGTTAATGTTCTCTCTCTCTCTCTCTCTCTCTCTCTCTCTCTTGCCCTTTTCTCTAAATACTACTGGAAAAGTGAAGTACCTTTTTGAAACACCCCCTGCCATACTGAGACCAACAAGGTATCAGTTACCAATAGGGGGCAGCGTGACACTGAGCTGCTCTGTGGAGGGCTCTGGCAACTGGACGATTTTGTGGTACAGAGCTGCTTCATTTGGTTCTAAAGAAGAGCCTATGACAGAATATGAAGGGAAGAAAGCTATTATTGTATCACAAAGAGGTCTCTACTCCACACATACAACAGTGATAAGGCCATCATTAAAGACACTCGTGAGTTTAGCTATTTATATCATTGTTATGAAAGTTAAATTCTCTGTCCTTCTTTTTGTCTTTCTGTCAGTAATATTACATTAGTGAAGTATGACATGGAAATAACAATGATGACTTGTGCTTGAATTTGCTATTTAAATTTTTCACTTGTTTCACAGAGTTTGTTTGTAAATTGAAAGATAGAAATTTAAGTACTGTACTGTATGTTCCTGATACATCGGGCTTTCAAGCAGAAGAAATTAAACCACAGCTAACAGATCATCTGCAGAGGAATGGCTTATTTGAAGAGTTTCAGTCAGGTTTCAGAGCTCAGCACAGCACAGAAACAGCTTTAGTGAAGGTTACAAATGATCTTCTTATGGCCTCTGACAGTGGACTCATCTCTGTGCTTGTCCTGCTAGACCTCAGTGCAGCGTTTGATACTGTTGACCATAATATCCCAATAGAGCGATTAGAACATGCTGTAGGTATTACAGGTACTGCGCTGCAGTGGTTTGTATCATATCTATCTAATAGACTCCAATTCCCATGATGCATTGAGTTTTTCCTTTCAAGTCAACTTTCTCACTCAGTATGTATTAACAGACCTCTCTGCATTGAATCATATCTGTTATCAACCTCTGTCTCTCTTCCACAGCATGTCTTTTATCCTGTCTTCCTTCTCTCACCCCAACCGGTCACAGCAGATGGCCGCCCCTCCCTGAGCCTGGTTCTGCTGAAGGTTTCTTCCTGTTAAAAGGGAGTTTTTCCTTCCCACTGTCGCCAAAGTGCTGCTCATAGGGGGTCATATGATTGTTGGGTTTTTTTCTGTATCTATTATTGTTGGTCTACCTTATAATATAAAGCACCTTGAGGCAACTTTTGTTGTGACTTGGCACTTTGGCGATTCTTTAGTGCCTCCTTTATTGCCTACTTCAGTGGAGTTAAGATGCTGACACGCATTTAGACTAGCATGACACTTCACCTGAAACTCAAAGATCAGGCTGGTTATTTATCCCCACAGGAGAGGATGTTCACTTTTGGATGTATTAGTGAGTCTAGGACTTTTTTTGAAGTGAAGAGATTTGGGTTTCATATATCACCTCATAATATAAAGCGCGTTGAGGAAATTGCTGTCATGATTTGGCATCAAGTAAATTAAATTTATTGAATGATGCTTCTGTCTCTTAATTTAATATTTTCTGTGAACAGTTCCTATTACGGCCATTTTGACTATACAGCCCAACTGGACTAGGATATACATGAGTGAAGCATTCACTGTCAGATGTGAGATCCCAGGAGGAGAAGGGACTTACTGGAGCTATGACTGGAGACCAGAAAGGTTCACCACATATTATACAACCAATGAAAGAACATTCTACAATGTTGGTTGGGAAGACAATGGAAATTATCAATGCAGGGGCAACATGGGGCTTTCCTTGACAGAATGGAGTAATGTCATTCCAGTCACTATATCATGTAAGTTGGACAGACATGTCTTACCCATATAAACAGTTTCATCCAAATGATCCTGTCCTGTTTTTACAGTCTGTTGTCCTGTGAGCATGTTGAGTTCTTCTTCACTCGTTTCATTAGTCTGATCTTGTTCACTTGTGTTCCCCAGTGTGTTCATTTTCCCTGCTTAGCTCATGTGTGCCACACACAGCGTACTGTGACATGCTGTGGTTCAAATAACATCAATAAATTTAGTCTTATGTATAACAATGGCAGTTTCTAATTTTGTAGCAATTTACTTCCATCCATCCATCCATCTTCATCCGCTTTATCCGAGGCCGGGTCGCGGGGGCAGCAGCCTAAGCAAAGAGGTCCAGACCTCCCTCTCCCCAGCCACCTCCTCCAGCTTGTCCGGGGGAATACCAAGGCGTTCCCAGGCCAGCCGAGAGATATAATCTCTC